AGATCTCAGGGCTGTTTCAACCAGAGAGAGAAATCACACCTACAGTAGGTGTGTAGGAATATACTGCTCCACAAAATGGCATCTACATTGAATCCCCCATTTTTATGTTGTAGGCTATTGTATGACATCAACAAGCTAACAGACTCCATGCGTTTTGTCAGAGGTGATCCCATTCTTCGTATAGACTTCACAACAGAGGAGGTGCAGACCTGGGGAGTTGTGTTCAGGGAGCTCCACAAGCTGTACCCCAGCCACGCCTGCAAGGAGCACCTGAAGAACCTCCCCCTGCTGACCAAATACTGCAACTACAGTGAAGACAACATCCCCCAGCTGGAGGACATCTCTCACTTCCTCAAGGGTAACTGTTCCGAACATGCGCGTCATTTGTCCTGCCATCACGCCCGTTGACCAATTGGTCTGTTCGCTCGGTCCGACCACGTGCTGAGGCTGTCGAACTCGCAGAGAGTTCAGTGTGGGAACGATCCGTACAGTGTATCGAACATAGGCCTCAAGACACACAAGGAGGGCAGAGGGAAGAGTCCGGCTGGAGGCCGCAGGTTAAAACTCAACATTTGCCAATGTTATGCATTGGAAATGAAAGATTTTAAATAAAATTAAAGCTCCTTGCTACTGTTGGGGCACTGGCCGGAGAGCTAAAAACGCAGCCAAGAACTCCTGCGGCCGTCGGACAAAGTGTCCAAGAGTCAGTCCGTTAACCATAAGCAGCGACACCAGGAATGCCGCTTTGCAAACTTTATCTTTAACATTATTAAGGTCTTAGGTCTTTTCTGACAAAATTTGAGAGAGATCTGATTAATTTCCGAGGAGTAGAGTGTAAAAAAACAAAAATGTAACTTCCTGTTGCCACTAGATGGCGCTATGACTAGAATTCAAAATGATCATATGGTCATATGGACGTCTAAAGGGTAAGGATTTCACGACACATGAGAAATAGAGGCAAAGGTGTTCACTAGTCCTGATATGCATATCATAAAAACATCAAACAGAAATCAGAATGGCCTACTTCCGGTACAGTTTCTAGCACGGCCCCAAGAGACTTCTTTCAGTTTACTTGGGTTACATATTCCTACCTGGTTTCAAACTTGTAGGTCAAACGTAGCGCTGGGGCTTCTTAAATACATATTTGTAGAGGGCACTATTGAGCCAAATTATCATTTTGAATCATTAACATGATATCAGATAACTACATCTTTGACTCTAAATGTGTGTGCCACGTTTACTTACAAGTTCAGCATGTTTATTACCGAAAAAAGCACTTTTGTAAATGACCTGATACCAGAAAATTTGACTTTCTGAATGGACTTATTATTTTGGTGGATTCTAATTTAAACATTAACGTGTGCACATTTATGACACTATCATTTGCCGCCTTAGTAAATGCTTGGTGTCTGTTTATGTTTTTTCATTTTCTGTATGGTTTTTGATAAACGGCCAATGGATCAGGGTTATTTTAGTAATTTAAAGACTTCAATGTCCACAGTTTTCAATGGAAAGTGTGTGTGTGTGTGTGTGTGTGTGTGTGTGTAGAGCGCTCAGGCTTCATCATTCGGCCCGTAGCGGGGTACCTCTCCCCGCGGGACTTCTTAGCGGGCCTGGCCTTCAGAGTGTTCCATTGCACTCAGTATGTCCGCCACAGCTCCGACCCTTTGTACACGCCAGAACCGTGAGTACACCAGGCATCTTCTTCATACTGCTACTACCCCAGTGAAGCAACACCTGCATTTCTGTCTCTGGATGTAGAGACACATGCCATGAGCTGCTGGGTCACGTTCCTCTGCTCGCTGAGCCCAGCTTCGCCCAGTTCTCTCAGGAGATCGGTTTAGCATCGCTGGGAGCTTCAGATGACGCCGTACAGAAACTGGCCACGGTGAGACAATACACACATGCTCATACTCATTTAGGTCATTTAGGCTGTGTGAGCCGCCGGCAGTGCTGCTTTCAGCTTGTACCCATAAAACAGCGAGCGCGTAGAAAACACCTCCGAGCAGCAGCAGAGGTTAACCTCGCGAGCAACGAAGATGCTAACGCATGCGCTCACTCACAGAGTGCGACCCCCAGTGGACTGATTAGGAATAGCACTCAGTCCGGGCCTAGCGTCTCACACATATGCCTTAAACAAAAGCTATACAAAGATACCTGCTCTTATTATACCAGCCTTACAATATGCACACACTCACACAAGTCTATTTGGGACAGTGATTACTTTGTGTTTGAAAAGGATGTTGTAAAAATGCTTCCCTGTTTTGTCCTAGTGTTATTTCTTCACAGTGGAGTTTGGCCTTTGTAAGCAGGACGGCAGGCTGAGGGCCTACGGAGCTGGACTACTCTCCTCCATCAGTGAACTCCAGGTAACTCTCCACCTGCTGCGTTGTATACCACGTCATCTGTGGCTTCTCCACTAAGGTTGTCCATGCATTCAACATTTCAATGACGTTTGGTGAAAACGTTGCCACTTATAATTGGCTTGAGATTTTGCAAATAAGCAACAGTAATTTTACATCTGAATTATTTTCATGACAATCACACAGCTTTAGCATTAGCATCAAATACACAAAATGTCTAGCTCTCACTAGCACACAAAGACTACACATTTCACATTTATCCTAGATGTGCGAATCCTACTTTAATACTACTATATTAATAATACTACTTTAATTATAATAATTGCACTTAGCTGCCGTCAGCCCCCAAAATAAATGTTACTTGGCCAACTGGGATCTGGGCGGCGTTTTCTCAGTATGTACATGTGACAACAACATGTCTTTTTTTCCTATTAAGCATGCTCTGTCTGGCAAAGCCCACATCCTCCCCTTTGACCCTGCGGTGACCTGTAATCAGGAGTGCATTATAACTACGTTCCAAGACGTTTACTTTGTTTCAGAGAGTTTTGAGGACGCCAAGAACAAAATGAGGTCAGTAGAATTCTCCTCCCTTAATGCTGATCAGTTCTTTAACTTGAGCATTTTTCCTTGTCACTTTTTCAGATTGCAACTAATCAAACCAACTTACCTTTCGTCAAGTCCTGCCCTCACATGCCAACTGGCCAATCGTAGCATAGCAACTACTAGGGCTAGCAGGGGGCGGGGATTAGCATATGGTTACTCCTGTCATCACACCAGCACTTCACCGGATGAAATTTGAATTATTTGCTGGCCTTTGTGGAGTTGGATGAGCCAGACCAGCCTTTATGCTAAGCTAGGCTAATCGCCTCCTGGCTTTAGTTCCATGCTTGGTGCACGCACTTGAAAGGTGTTATCAGTCTTCTCGGGTCACGCTCATAAGTGCATTGCCTGACAAGTTCAAAGATTTCTTCACCAGCTGCATCTACTGTATCAGCAAAGTTTGGCAAGATGTGTTTTAGTTGTCCATGCGGTGACAGTTAGCCTCCATGCGGTGACAGTTAGCCTCCATGCGGTGACAGTTAGCATCCGTGCGGTGACAGTTAGCCTCCATGCGGTGACAGCATGCTCGCGGTGACAGTTAGCATGCTCAGGCGTGGCTGTAATCATCACAGCGTTGTCGTTTACGTTGATTTATCAGAAAAGAGTTCTGAGTGTTGAAAAGTCACTCCCTTTGTTGGGAATTTACACTGTGGTGATGGATCCCCGAACTTTTCATATTGTGTTTATAAATTGACCACAAACACGTCACTTTGCTTGAATGAATTTATATATTAAATGTTTCCTGATTCCTGAGGTTAGTCATATGACTTTTTGTGTGTCCACAGGGAGTTTGCTAAGACCATTTGGCGTCCATTCACAGTACGCTATGACCCCTACACTCAGAGTGTGGACATCGTGAAAGACACCACCACCATCAACAGCATGGTGAAAGACATCCGACACGAGCTGGACATTGTAGAAGACGCCCTGAACCGACTCAACAAACAGCTCTGAGTCTGAATTTGTATGAATGTACAAGTTAAAAATACCTGTATAAATATAACACCACAGTCTAAACTTTGTTGCCACAATGTGAATTGTCGCATGCTTCCACTTCACTGTGTAACGATGGATGCTTGGAGTTTCTTGCTGGCGGCTTCTTATTTGCACCTTTTGTCTGTTAATCGAGTGCAATGAGGTGTTGTTGACCACAATGATTATAATGTCCTGTGTTAAATGGGTCACAGAATCAATCCAATAAAAAGGTATTGTAACGTTTCGTGTCAATAAAGAGCCAGGTTCTTATCGCTCGGGTTTATTGTTGTCTGTTGTCGGCCACAACCACGCCATTTCACACACCCGGTCATCAACTTAGTCAGAACAGAACTTCCCCTTCCTGTGCTCCCCGAAAACTACACACATTCCCCGGAAGGGGCGGTACCCCAACAATGGCCTACGTAACAGTAACATTAATCAGAGCCATATACATTTATGAACTTAAGGCACGCTACAGTATAGACGCACGTGTTGTCCGAGCACCTTGTTTTTTGACGTGAATGCAATACACAACTTTTAAAGCCTGAGTATCAACGAGTGCGTGAACACGCTTGAGTTTAGGGAAACGAGAGGATTCAGTCAACACACGGATGCTACCGATCTGCATTCCATGTGCTAACATGCAGCCCCACATGCTGCGCGTCTGAAGGCCTGTGCACACAGAAGAACGCTCTCGTCTCCAGTCATTGGGCCAAGAAGTTGTCCTTGAATCAGATGAGATCAGGGGTAAAAAATGAGATATTTGTACTTATTTGTGATTTTAGTCGTCTGCTTCCTTTCCTCACTCCCATTTAGGCTTTAGTGTGTCTGCATGGTTTGTGCCACAAGGTGGCACCGTCGCAGCACTAGGTAAGGTATCCACACTCACCTACGCCTTTGACAGGCGAAGAGCAAAGAAGCCCACTAATTCATCTTTGATCTTTAAGTTGGAAGCATTTTACAGGACAGATCGTTTCAATCGGAGATGAACACGGCAACTAATCGCGGTTTTATTCTGAAGGGTCCACCGGATGTCCGGTGTTGTGGGGGAGGGGGCGGGGGGCGGACTTGGGTGTTTCCTCCGAGCTGAAGTCAGGATTCCCAGTCGAGGCTCAGTCCCGTTACGCAGGAAATCTGTCCCTGAACGTTACACGGCCGCGGAGCGCCATGGGAGTCGAAGGCTGCACCAAATGCATCAAGTACCTGCTCTTCTTCTTCAACTTCATCTTCTGGGTGAGCGGCTTTCAGCGGTTAACGCGGCGTGCGCGCGGCGGGTTTCACGTGCGTGCCGGAGACGTCCACGTTAGCGGTCCGTCTCGCGCGTTTCACTGAATAACGGGGGCGTGAAGGCGGCGGCGGCGCGCGCCGGCGCGGGCCCGTTTCACTGAAAACAATAAAAACGCGTTTGTTTGTCGCGTGTCTCGACTCGTCGAGCTGAGGGCGACGTCAACGTGGACGCAACTCGGGGGCCGCTGTGAACACGCCGCGTGGATTACGGCCTCCGCCACATTATCCTGCGCGTGTGTGCGCGCGCGCGTGCTGGTCGGGGAGCGCGGTGATGAAAGCGGGGGCCACCGGCCGTGTTTCCTGTGAATATGTGCGATCTGCGTCGTGTGAGACACAAGACGACCCGCGGAGCCGCTCAGCACAGCGCCGCCCAAAGAAAGTAAATGTGTGAAACCACCCCGACGAAGGTCGCTCCTCATCCTCCCTGCAGCATGCGGGCTGAGCAGCGCGGTGTGGCCCCCGTGTGCTAATAGGGGGCTACTGGAGGTGGGGGGAGCACGTGGGGGGGTTGACCTGTTGCTCCCCAGGTAAACATGTGAATGTCTGCTGTGTCTTTGTACCCGGCAGATAAAAACCAGTCAGACCACCACACTTACTGGAGATAATTCTGCAGATGATTTGCAGGACTTGACATGAACACTTCTGCTCGCCGGCCACTGTGGCGAGTGGTTAGTTACTAGCGAGTTGGGAATTTAAGTTTAATTTGATTAAAGTTTACTACTTTTATATCTACAGTCCTTTCAACTGTAAATGTATTTGTAAAATATGTACAGTCGGCAAATCTTCAGCTCTTGAAAGGTGTAAAGCTCCTTTTTGTATGAAAACTGATTTCTGACTGGACCCGAAAGAACAGAACTTACTGCCATGTTTAGGTCAGCGGGGCGACATATGAAAACATCTGTGATACCAAAACACAATCCTCACAGCCGCCATGCAGCCATTATTGAATTGAATTGCGTTACATTATGCTGCCGTTATTTAATTCCTCAAGGTGGGACGTTTTGATTCAAACTAGATTAGAACTAATGTGTGACCTCACAGAAATAGCCAAATCTAGCAAGTATCAAAGCGCCTTTCTGTGCCGAAGAATCCAGCCGTTGTGCTGAGGGTTAAGGCCTCGTTCAAATGATACACAACGAGCCGCTGTGGCAAACCAGCTGTACCCAATAGACACGCGCTACACAGACACACACGCAGAGCTACACACGAGCACATACAGATGGACCCATTGGTCAGGAGATCCCCAAACCCGAGGATTGCAGTGCTAATTGTGGGCATGGAAGGGATCAGAATCCAATGGTTAAAAACATCTACTGCCCCGCTGAGACCAGCAAGCCACCCAGCCCAGTGCACGCCCCGCACGCCACCCAGCCTGCACGCCCCCTACGCCCCGCAGCTCATCACTGGGGCGATTTGAACCCTATTTTTGACATGGCAGACCCACCTCCGCTGTAAGATGACGTGCTAGTTGTTATACAGGCAAAGGCGCTATAAAAGACCAACTTTTCTCAGCCTCCTTTGAGGTGTCGCTAGATGTGTGTGTTCTTAATTAATGGGACCGGGTTTGTTTGTATAGAAGAGCTTAAAGGCCCGAGTTGTAGTTCTTACCCTGAGAAACAAATGATAAACATGTGAAGATGTTTTTATCTGACACTGTATGTCATGTTGTTATATTTGACATAATGTCAGTTTAAAAAGTCTCCAAATAGAATGTCGTCATACTTTAAGATGTATGTAAACTGTTGTGTGTTAACCTTGTAATGGACTTAATAAACCGCTGAAAATGTTCCCGGCGGCTGCGAGCGACACGGCACACGTACACATCTGTGACATATACATGTCAGCGTGGAAATGTATAATATGTGTGTATATATATATGTATATATGGGGAGGGGGGAGGGGGTTGATTGCTGCAGTCCTGCCCGTTATGGTGTTGGTCCGGTTGCTAGGCAGCAGCTGGCCTTTGCTCTGGAATGGACCTCACCAGGAGCGAAAGGGGGAAGGGTTTTGGTTCAAGTCTATTTACAGAAACTAGTTTTTATTTAGAGGCCTTCTTCTGCCACATTATCCCTTTTGACGGTGAGTTTGAAGTATTCACAGGGGAGTATTGTTACTCCAGAGATGTGTATAATAAAGCAATAAGGTACGAGAGGCTCAGTTCGGCCCAGAGCGGTCATACAGTTACCAGCCAAATTATAAATAGCTGCTTTTCAGAACAAAACAGTTGTAGCGACCGAACGTTGTGTATCTCATTTCAGTGGTCTAGAGACAAAATAGTCCCCGTAGGTGCGCGTAAACAGCATCGGGTCCCCCACCATCTCATTCATTCACATCGCTCATGACGTCCACCTTAAACGCTCTCATTGCCTGGAACTGATCATTTGTGGGAGTTGTGTTTTTTTTTTTTTTAAAGCTGAAATGTCAACTAACGGTCACGCAAGATCTAAGCTGTTGCTCAGTGATACGGACCGCTCGGGTCAATGTGAACAGGTACTGAACGTTATGGCCCAAATCACTCTCAACCAATCAGAACGCTGGATTTCATCTACCCGTATTATAATTATCATAGATATCTATCTCTAGGAGGACAGGACAGGGCAGTACAGGGCAGTACAGGGCAGTACAGGACAGTACAGGACAGGGCAGGACAGGGCAGTACAGGGCAGTACAGGGCAGTACAGGACAGTACAGGACAGTACAGGGCAGTACAGGGCAGGACAGGACAGGGCAGTACAGGGCAGTACAGGGCAGTACAGGGCAGGACAGGGCAGTACTGGGCAGTACAGGACAGTACAGGACAGGGCAGTACAGGACAGTACAGTACAGGACAGGACAGGGCAGTACAGGACTGGGCAGTACTGGGCAGTACAGGACAGTACAGGACAGGGCAGGACAGGACAGGACAGTACAGCACAGGACACGACAGGACAGTACAGGACAGGGCAGTACAGGACAGGACAGGGCAGTACAGGACAGTACAGGGCAGTACAGGACAGTACAGGGCAGTACGTCCAGGCTTCCTAAAGGAAATGAGTGAGAAGAGCAAGTCCCAAAAGGCTCTTTGTGAAGTGGTGGTCGTAGAAATGCACCAAGCGAAGACGTGTCGTGGGTTCCTAATGGTTGGGGAGACGCTGGAGTGGATGCTGAGTGTGGGTGCGGCTCGGCGTAAAGTGCTTATGAGATGTGATGTACTGACCTGTCGTGTGTCCGCTGCAGCTCGCCGGAGGTGTGATCCTGGGCGTGGCCCTGTGGCTGAGACATGAGCCTCAGACCAGCAGCCTGCTGGAGCTGGAGCTGGACGGAGCCCACGCCCCCAGCACCTTCTACATCAGTACGTATCCCCTCCTCCGCTCTCGCCCCTGTTTTATTTAACTGTGGACCGTCATTATATATTGTCAGAGCCAAAGGCAATGAAATATTAACCCGCTCCCCTGATTAGGCTGATATTTAATCACAAACATGGAGCCAAACGGCTTTAAGCAAGAGAGGGTCCGGGCAGAGAGCGAGGGTCTTCCCCTGAGCTCGTATGTGCTGGTGCCTGTTGACAGTTGATCTCTGCTCGTTGTTCATTTCTAGTAGTGCTTCTGAACTGAGGAGCCGGGCTGCTCAAAACAAATGATAGAATAACGTATCAAATGTTTTCTAAATTCATTACTTGACTGCTTTCCGCACAGAAATGTTCATGTTGGATAAATCTCTCCTGTGGATGGACCTGATGTTTCCACTGAACAGGGTGTGGAGCACAGCCTCGTTATTCGCCTGCTGGACCGAGCGCTGCACTCACGGCCCCCCGACTCGGTTAAAGCCGTCTAACGAGCACCGGCCGCCATTGTTTGTTCTTACTGAAGGAAACACGGCGCACAGCAACGCTTCATCTCAGCTCCTCCACGCTGCACAGAGCCCCCTCATTCCTCCTCGCTGTAGGAAAGAATTCCTCACCGCCCTCCTCCTCCTCCTCCTCACGCTCCCTCCTCCTCCTCACACTCCCTCCTCCTCCTCTTCCTCCCTTCTCTGAAAGTTTTCCCCTCCTCCTCCTCCTCCCTTCTCTGAAAGTTTTCCCCTCCTCCTCCTCCTCCTCCTCCTCCTCTGAAAGTTTTCCCCTCCAGTGTCTTTGTGCATAAAGCCGCAGAGTCCAACTGGAGCCGCCTAAGCAGTTTGGCCGATCGGGGCTGACCACCGATGTGTGGGACAGCTTACACGCCTCCGACTACGCGAGCAACCGGGCAGACTAACTGCTTTACTTATCTTTAACATCCAGATATCAAGATGGAGCAGCCCCACGCGGCACCTACATTAGGGGGACCCCCCTGTGTCTTTTCCTTCCTCGAAGAAGAATGAAGGATAGGCTGGAATGCATGAAGCAGGTCCAGAGAAGTGGTTCTTC